TCTCTCTCTCTCTCTCTCTCTCTCTCTCTCTCTCTCTCTCTCTCTCTCTCTCTCTCTCTCTCTCTCTCTCTCTCTCTCTCTCTCTCTCTCTCTCTCTCATGTGTGTGTTATTTCACAAAGAACGTCTTTGTTTTACCACCGGTATGCATTGGTATACATTTAATAATTTTAAAGTATGCTTTGAGGAATTGTGTGTCGTGTATGACAAATATGCTCTCTGTGTACAATTCGGTTACTGCAGTGAGCAGCGAAGCATACGATCTTTGATATTTTATACTGATGCGCATGATCTCTGTATATATTTATCTTATTGCGTGTTATTTTCAGACTGAAATTCGCGCCTATTCCCACCAAGTGGAATATTTCCTGTCCATTGTTCTTTGATGTTTATTATAGTCGGTGCCAAAAGTGCTGTCCAATTTAAAAAATCTGCAGCTCCGTGAATTGTTGAAACTGACTGACGAAACCTCGCCAGGACATCACATCGAGCGATGACCACTCGGTGACACAAAAGGCCACCATTCGGATGAGGATCACCGTGGGACATGTCTCAGAAAACCCGTTCAACCGATAGGTTCGGTTATATTAGGGCCCTGACAACAGTCAGGGTGGGGCTATAAAACAACAACAAAGTGCGTCCGACATTGGGACTCAGTACTATAAAGAAATTTTAACATTTGGCATGCAGCCTGTTAATAATCATGTTGCTGTAAGACTTTTTTTTTTAATGCAAACATGTAAGTTTTTATTTTGCATTTTTTGCAGATATATAAAAAGAAAAAAAAAGAAAAACCATTCAAAGCAAATAGTCAGCATGCTTACAGTAACTTGACTAAATTAAGTGAGTTGAACTTTTCAGAACAAAGAACTGCTCACGTTTCAAAGGCGTTACACTGTCATGTGATCTCCGGGGACGCGGATTTTTTCATTGAGTGGGGAAATGGCTAACAAAATAACCACTATGCATGGCTGTATATGGGAACTGATTTCCAAACAATTTTCAAACGCGTGTGATTTATTGTTTATTATATTTTTAGGAGCCCAGAAATGTTTAGGTAAACAAAGATCAAAGAAATACGTAGCTTTAAGAAAACAGCAGCAGTTGTGCAATTGTAAACTATAGAATGACATGGACATGGAAAATCTAAGGCCTCATGCAAAATTTCGTGTTTATCCGAAATATCAGGGAATGAGTTTTGAAACGCACTGTAACTTGCGTATTTTAATCTCCTTATAAATCCCACACATCAGAACAATAATGCAACAATGAAGGTTGGATGCCTTCTCTATATTAAGTATAGAAACAGGTGTGTTACATAAGATTAGTCTGAGGATCTGAATAAAGACACAGCAGTTAAAACAGAAGGAGAAGACTTCAGATATAAATAAAGCAGACGTTTACATAGAGAAACAATGGCATTATTTTTCATCTACTGTAAATTTTGTTTACATTTGATTTTATAAAGTACGGCTTATTAATTATATATTTTAAATTATGTTTATATATATAGTTGTCCCGTGCTCACCTGTGTATGTAGATTTGCCATAAATAAAAAATGCTTTTCAAGTTAATATTAACTGTATTTAATTTAAAATCTAAATTATATTTTCCATTCTTTCTTTCTTTCTTTCTTTCTTTCTTTCTTTCTTTCTTTCTTTCTTTCTTTCTTTCTTTCTTTCTTTCTTTCTTTCTTTCTTTCTTTCTTTCTTTCTTTCTTTCTTTCTTTCTTTCTTTCTTAATTTCTTTCTTTCTTTCTTTCTTTCTTTCTTTCTTTCTTTCTTTCTTTCTTTCTTTCTTTCTTTCTTTCTTTCCTTCTCTCTCTCACACATATATATTTGTCTGTATACCTATACATATGTATGTATGTATGTATGTATGTATGTATGTATGTATGTATGTATGTATGTATGTATGTATGTATGTATGTATGTATGTATGTATGTATGTATGTATGTATGTAGGTAGGTAGGTAGGTAGGTAGGTAGGTAGGTAGGTAGGTAGGTAGGTAGGTAGGTAGATAGGTAGGTAGGTAGGTAGGTAGGTATGTAGGTAGGTAGGTAGGTAGGTAGGTAGGTAGGTAGGTAGGTAGGTAGGTAGGTAGGTGTGTGTGTGTGTGTGTGTGTGTGTGTGTGTGTGTGTGTGTGTGTGTGTGTGTGTGTGTGTGTGTGTGTGTGTATGTATGTGTGTATGTGTGTATGTGTGTTTATGTGTGTTTATGTGTGTGTGTGTATGTGTGTGTGTGTGGGTGGGTGGCTGGCTGGCTGGCTGTCTGTCTGTCTGTCTGTCTGTCTGTCTGTCTGTCTGTCTGTCTGTCTGTCTGTCTGTCTGTCTGTCTGTCTGTCTGTCTGTCTGTCTGTCTGTCTGTCTGTCTGGAATACATTACAAGATTGACACCTATCCGAAAGAATGATTAAACTACCATTTAAAAAAAAATGAATAAAAAAGTCGATAATCAATTTGTAGTTATGTATGATTTTATAAGATACTGTTTTCTCAAATACAAGTAAAGTTGTTCAATGAAGTATAATATCAGTACAGTAGACCTCATTCCATCTGTTGGCTGGCCTGATAATGAGATAATGAAGAAAATTTCTTCATCCAAAAAGGCCAAAAAAAAAAAAAACGCGAATGTTGCATTAGTTGCAGTGTTGCCACTTTGGATCTTTTATATCCAAATGAAGATCTTTTTTAATGCATATAAATACTGTTTTTGACGTTTAGATCGTAAATATTTTTCTAGACACTTTTCATTTGGAGTTAGATATTTTATAGATTTTTTTCTCTCATTGTCAATTTAATAATTACTGTGTAAAATATTTACTACAATATTTTTGTTTTGGTCTGGCACGTACATTGTGACAACTGCCATTACTTGAACTTTGGACTCTCACTGGGGTCAACGCACAAATATCTGGCAGCCCTGGTACTGATTAATAAAAACGCGATTAAATCATACTTTGTTTCAACCGTATCCTCACTGTGCTGACTTTGCGTTTCTTTTTCATGTGATTTGAAAAAAAAAATTATTGCTCACTTTTTTATGTGGCTTTCACTTTGAAAAAACCTTTCAACATGCCAAAAGTAAAAAATGAGCAAAAAAATTGGAAAGAGTGGTTGCATGATGACAAAATTGAAAAATGATGAAATGACTAAAGCTTGTAAGTACTGCAAGATTGAAATTAAAGCGAAAATACAAAACTAAAAGAGACTAAAAAAGCATAAAACTGCAGTTTCATTTAAAGATATTACACCGCTGACATCTGTTTTCAGAACTATAATGATCAATGAATCATCAAAAGTTGAAGTATCAGTCCCAATGTTTTTAATTTGTCACTGCGCAATTTCAAACTGTGACCATTTGATCGATTTGTAAAAAATCTTGGACTAGTTCAATTTGAAAAGTGTGATGTAGAAAGTATAGTTTAGGAATTGAAGGACCTTTTAATCAGCAAACAGTTAGGCTTGAAGAATTTGGCTGTAACCGGAACTGATAATGCCTCGGTGATGGTTGGTATAAACAATGCCATTTATGCCAAGTTGAAGGAAGCTAACCCATCGTTAATACTTATAAAATGTATGCGACATTCATTACAGCTAGCATAATCACATGCTTTATCTAAATATTTGCCAAGGAATTTGGAATACCTTATTGCTGAAACACTTTACTGGTTTTCCAAATCATTTGTCAGACAACAGCAATACAATACATTATATACAGCCTTGAATGATGGTTCCTCACCACCGAAAATTCTGTCAGATTGCAAAACTAGTTGGTTATCAATTTAACCAGCTGTTGAAAGAATTATGAAGCATTGGCTGAAGTTGAAGACACACTTTGAAATAACAAGACAAAGTGAAAACGTGCTACACAGCTGAAATACTATATGGAATGTACAGTGATGAAAACAATTTGTCATTCTTTCTCTTCTTATATCCTATTCTAATGGAAGTGCAAAAAATTAATAAACTGTTCGAATCTAAACTTGTTGATAAAGTAAAATTACTTGATGATCTAACCTTGCTGTTTCACTCGGTAAAAGACTGGTGTTGCCAACTTCTATAGCTGATTTGCTCACTTGCACTATAGAGAGCTATTTGGCTCCTAAGCCACACCTTGGATATTAATAAATCGAATCAAAAATTGATGATTTAAAAACGAAAGGACTGTTATCAGAAAATGAAGAGAACAACTTAAGAAAACGCTGTCAAGATTTCCTTATCTCATAATTGGAGCAATTGAAGCAGAGACTTCCTGAAAATCTAGATGTTTTGAAAAATATTTCACTTTTTTCTTTGAGCAACATATTTCAGCCAATAAAGGACATACCTAAATATTGTAAAGTTATGAAATTTTTAGGGGCTTCTGATAATAGTGTCGCGGAAGCAGAATATCAGTTAACAAAAATAAAGTTAGCTGAATGAACAAGCAAAACAGAAACTAAAGCGTTTTGGAGTGAAGTGAGACAATTTAAAGATGCCTCATCAAACAGTCCATTCTGTAAGCTCTTAAAAGTGCCATGTCTGCCATGATAATACCCCACTCAAATGCTGACGTAGAAAGAGTTTTCAGTGCTAGGAATTATATCAAATCTAACCTAAAAAACAGGATGAAATTTGACCTCTTAAATGCTATCGAGCCATTAAAATTCAGCCTGATGAGACTAGAGAAATAAGCCTACTGTTCCGCTTGTAAAGAAATTTGAACAGCTAAAGCATACCAGGGTCATTTTGGATCTGAAGCTTCAACTTCATTATCCAAGCTAAGTTTATCCTGTGGATCTTGTGAGGCAGACATCAGTGAAGGTCAGGACATGATTATGTAGGGTAAGTCATAACAGAAGCTATGTAATGTTTGACTTTTTCAATTTGGATGTTTTTTTCTAGATCTTTTCCACGCATATTTAGATCTTTTTAGATATTTCTTGACACCGTTTTGGATATTTTTTGTAGAAAAAAAGTGGCAACACTGATTAGTTGCATTCAACTGTTGATTACCAAGATGGCTGCTAACGTGAAACAGCAGCTTGCTCAACTTATGAGCTTGTCCCATGCAAGTGGATCTCACAAAGACGTTACAGAAAAGTAGGTTGCATAATACATTTGATGCTTTTATTTATTGCTTGTTTTTTAATTATCTACGCCTAATACATCTTTGTTGCAACTCATGACTGGACTAAAGTACTCTGTTTCAAACGCTGTCCGCATAGGATAGGCTAGTTTTCAATCTTGTGATTTGTCGTTATTTAATAATGCAATAACAATTATAGGCTATCATCCGAATAACGGTCTCAAATTATCGAGGCCGAAAATATACCCTAACAGGGCCTCAGTCACGTGTCAGTTGCAGACTTCCAGGGACTATACTATACCGCCACCACCGAATTGCGAACTTCCGTGGACTATACCGCCACCACCGAGAGTATCCCCCATGCCGCTCACGCGGCGTGGATTGGAGCTAAACTAGATGGCTGGGACTCATAAGCAAATAAAATAAAGGAAGCTGCAGGAGATGCGGTAGCTGCTGCTCGTGAGTCACAGCCATCTGTGGCTGGGACTCACGAGCAGCAGCTTCCGCATCTCCTGCAGCTTTGCTCGTGAGTCCCAGCCATCTAGTTTAGCCCCAGTCCACGCCATGTGAGCAGCATAGGGAATACTCTGGGCAGTGGCAGTAGTCGCCGGTAGTCCGTACATTAGGTCGCCGGAAGTTCGCATTTACATGTGACTGAAGCCCTGTTTTTGGCCGCCATAATATGTGCCCATTATTCGGTGGTTGCCCAACGATTAAATACTCACTCACTCAACTAACTGCTATACTCTGTACTGCTATACAGCATCATCTTGCATTTAATTATTAATAATACTATTGTTGTAATTATATTTTAAAAACATGACTTGAATAATTAAATAAATTGTTAAATAAATAAATCTCACAAAATGTAATCGATCTGATGTTATGATAGTCTCTTGATTGAAACATTCGTTCAAGTCTGTTGCAGTTAAATTTTAACTTAAAAGACAAACCGAACCACCAATGCCAAAGATACCTGCCATAGAGGATGAGAACTGATATGTCATTAATAAGAGAACAGCAGTATCATAAGAGAACAGCAGTATCATAATAAATGTCTGACTGTATCCCCAGGTTATATCTTATGGGAAAGTTGGCAGTGCTGAAATACTGAAAGAAGAAGTTGAGGAAGCGATGTATTCACTAAAAAAAGGCACAAAGCCAAGTGTGGACAGAGTCACAGCTGATCTTCTGAGAAACGTGGAAAAGTACACATCGTTAAGATGAGGTATTTCTGAAGCATTTTAAATGGGCACGCTCGTTGATGGTACCACTACCAAAGAAGTGAAATGTGCAAAGTGTAACAATTACAAAACTATCAGTTTTATCATCTGCGCTAGCAAAATAATGCTGAAAAGATACTTCTTAAGTGAATAAAAGCAAAAACTAAAGAAATATTAGACAAAGAACAGGCGGGTTTCCAGAAAATAGAAAAATCACATAAGAAATCTTTAATATCAGAACAAAATGTTGAATTAAGAATTGACATCATAGCACAGCAAGAACATTAACAATGTCAATCTTTGAGACAAAAATAATTTATAATTGTAGCAAATAGCCTTTATGTGGCAAACTATTTAGGGGCATTTCAGCGTAATGAATAATCAGTAATGTCTGCTCTGGTTTCCTTGTCCAGGGGGCACTTACTGAGATGAGCAAAACAATGCAGGGTTATAATGCTAGAATTTAACTTATACTGATGACACTTGAACGCATTTGACTGTCCTGTCACATCTGTGAGCCTTGTTTACACAGGTACAAAAGCACCTTGGAAGGGATCATCAAAGCAGGAGGAGATGAACTGGTGCCTTCTCTTCAAGTTTTCATTGAAGCTTGTAAGTGTCAGGCTCATTATATTTTCACATCATCTTTTGTGGTTTGTTTACATCTTTTTCTACAAATTAGTTTGATGTCATTTATAATTATTCCCACTTTTTTCCTGAAGCACCCAAAAAATAAAAGAACTTCTGATCCAGTTACGTGATAAATTCAAGGACTTCAAATAAAATATTTAATTGGCTGTTCTTGGCACAATACTACAAAACAGTTTTATGAACAAATAAGAATCAAGGAACAATAAAACAACCCATCAGGTCTCAAAGATTCATTACAATTTTTCTTGTCAAAAGACTTTGAGTGGAAGGGTTGAGGATACATCCTAGCATAAGTAACGTCTTATCACTTAATATACCTAAAGTAGTAGGGATTATCTTTACCTCTTTCTATTTCTTCTTCTTCTGTTTACTTTTTATTCTTCTTCTGCTTTTTCTTTTATTTACTTCCTCTTCTAAGTGTCAAGGGAGATATTAGGATCTGCTTCATCCTCTTCTGGCTGCTTCAACCATAGCATAGCACAGTTTCTAGAATGTTTTCTTTCCACCTTGTTCTTGGTCTCCCACATACCCCATGGGTATCAGTAGTGACCAGAAGAGATCAGATCATCATTGAGATCATAAAAGAAAAAGTTGGCATAGAACCAGTTCTAAATTACATTAAAAAGGCAGCAAATCAAACAGTTTGCCCACTCAGAGAGAATGCTTTGTGATACCATACAAGTCTGGTAGTCTTAGTTTCAGCTTTATAGCAAATGAGTTACCCCATCTTTCTTCCACTCCTATGCCAATGAAAAACACACATAATGTTTATTACAGTCCCTTGTGGAAAAATTGACATAATGCTGTCTCAGCATAACTAGTATACACACGCATTAAAGCATACGGTAACCATCAAAAGTACTAACACAAACAGTCCGACATTAGAAATGCAGTTCATCATTGATGGTAGCAGAAGTCACCAATAGATCAATTTTAATCACATACAGACACCACCAACATTGCGACGACAGGCATCTACAATTCACACCACCACGTTGGTCACAGTTAAAAAAACATTCGAAATAAAATCTGTAGCTCATAGTGTCCCGCCATGCATTAAACTCAGAAGCTGGGCGGCGAAACTATATCCAGTCTACAAATGGAGCAAAAATGCAACGGCCACCGTCTGGCAGAAGCAAAAAATGTGCCTTAGCTCCAAAAAGTGGCCCTGCCTAGCATCCATTTTGACCGGAATACAAGTGTTAATGTTTGATACTGGTAGCAAAACGTGGAGATGAATATGCTTTGTGAGATGTTTCTTTGTTTTGATCTGGATCGTAAAAATTGGAGCTAGCTAACTGTCCCAATTATTGGTTTGCATAACGGCATCAGATGTTAATGTCTTCATCCGATTTACTATCTTCGGTGAATGTTGTTCCCAGATATTTAAACTCAGAAGCCTGTTTAATACCTTTGCATTATCAACTTCTACTTCTTTCTTTCTGCTGACATTTCTGATGTCTTTTCAATGTTGAGTCGCACACTGTTTGTTTTACATTGTTCATTCATGCTTGCTAGATGTTGCAATTTAATGGCTGTATTTGCTATCAGGCCTGGTCATCGGCAAAGAGTAATTTGTTGTTACTGATATTTTTGTTCTAGGCTGGACATTGCATATACTGTTGATATAGATGATAAACAGTAGTGGTGATAAGACACATCCCTCTCCCACTCAAATTTTCTTGTAAATGGTTTTGATGGTCCCTGATTTATATTTTAATTACACTTCTCCAATCCCTATGAAACTTATGCACAATCCAAAAAGGTGTTTGCTTACTCCATATTGAGCCATTGCCAGTTATTGCCTTTATTATACCACTTTTGCGGTGTAGGCAGTGGGGTGTTTGAGTCTGAGGGTTTACAGCTACATGGCTAGTGCTGTCACCACGGCTGTGCAAGTGAGGATTTTATTTCGCCCCTGACAGAAAAAATTTCCAGTTTTACTTAGGATTCGAACCCGGGTCTCCTGCTTGAGAGCCCAGTGTTATAGCCATTTGGCCAGCCACTCCTCATTGAGCCATTACTTTCTATAATGCTTGTCTGTCAGTCTATAGAATGTTTCTCCTGATCTGTGAATGCCACAAATAACTAATTATTGTATTCAGCCTTCTCTTCTATTTAGTGTAAAGATTGCATTCGCACAAATTATGTTTCTCTTGAATCCTATCTGTTCTGTTAACTGTGGTTCTGTAACTGGTCTCTGCCTCGTTTCTTTTATCTATGCAGATATTAGGTAAACATGAATTATAAGAGAGCTGCCTCAGTATTGACACCATTCTCATTTTGTTTGTCTTCCACAATTATTGCATGTTTTCAGTCAATGGTGGCAGTTTATTGTACCAATGTTAGATTAAAGATTCTGTGAATTCATGTGTGCCTTTTTAATGACACTAAATAACAAGCAGATTACAGATGACCTGGTAGAGGCTAATGCTGTTAGGTATACCTACCTCAGTTAGGTAAAAAAAGATTCTTGCTGCATGAATGTTAATCTGATGTCCTATCTTTAGTGGTGAGTGAAGGAGTCAGCTTGGTCATCTCACGACAGATACTCACAGATTTTACTGCACAGCTATCCAGAATGCCTGATGCTGTTGCCAAGGAGGTTTCTCATTTCACTCTGGAAAAGATTCAGGCTCGAGTTATTTCATTTGAAGAGCAGGTATGTTTAGACATTTACCTTATATTGTGTGGCTGAAGAGAAAGGGAGTGTTACTTGACATGTTTGCATTGACACATGTAAGCTGCAGCTTGTTTAATGTACTTTACTTCATAGTTATTTAGTTCAGACTAAAACTGTGCACATACATACATGCATACATACATACATACATACATACATACATACATACATACATACATACATACATACATACATACAAACATACATACATACATACATATACAGGAAAGCAACAACTATCTAGACTGCAGAGATACAGAAAACAGACTGGACAGATAAAATAATAATTACTATGTCTTTGCAGAAATCAGGGGAGGTCAATGTTTGCATTGACACATGTAAGCTGCAGTTTGTTTAATGTGCTTTACTTTACAGTTACTTAGTTCAGACTAGGACTGTTCACGCTATATTCTACATTTTCAGTACTTTTTGTATCAGGGACCATGGTTATTAAATTTGTGTAATACTTTGCTTGTTGAAAATTAGAATGCAGCATGCCATAATTTTTAACTGCTTACAGTGTAGCTAGTTTTGCATCATGAGATCAAGCAGCACATACAGGTCCTTGTGCTGTCTTTATATGTCTCCTTTGTAATCTTTGTTCCTACTGATACTCTAGACCAACGGTTCTAAACTTATGGGTCACGACCCTTTTTGGGGTCAAACAACTCTTTCACATGGGTAGCCAAAGACCATAGGAAAACATATTCGCTGAAGGTACGAAGTAGCAAAAAAAAAAAAGTAATTTTATTGTTGGGGTTGCCACTACATGAAGAACTGTATTTAAGGGTTGAGAGCCACTGCTTTAGAATGTATGAGATGTTTTGAATGAAAAAATGATTGCAAGTGTCACAGAAGAGATATTTCAGATAGTGACTAATATGAGCTCCCATTGTTTGAAAAGATAAAGATTTTGCATATTCAGATTGTGTGTCATTAAATTAATTGTATTTATTGCAGCATTAAATTAACACCGCAAAAACAAAAATTCTAGACCTTACCAACAGTTCAGTTGATATCACGCTGAACAACAACAGCCTTGAAAAAGTCAACAGTTTCACTTATCTAGGGAGCAAGATGTCATCTACAGGAGATACCGCACCAGAAATATCATTTAGAATAGCACTGGCATCTAGTGCCTTCAATAAACTGTCTAACATCTGGAAATCAAAGACACTTAGCAAACACACAAAACTCAAGATCTTCAATTCTTGTGTGATTCCAGTACTAACCTATGGATGCGAGAGTTGGAAATCAACGAAAACTCTAGACACAAAATTAGACAGTTTTGAAAATAAATGCCTTAGAAGAATACTAAATTTCAAATGGTCAGATTTCCGAACCAATACACAAATAAGGCAAGAATCCAGGCAAGAGTATGTGTCTAATTTTATACGAAAACGCCGCTGGAACTATGTCGGCCACGTCCTTAGAATGGATAAATCAAGACTTCCTTACCAAGCCCTCATTTGGACACCACAGGGGAAAAGATCTCGTGGAAGACCAAGGGAAACCCTACGTAGAACTATCATCAGGGAAGGCTCGCTCATGGGCCACTCAAACATCCAAGACCTACAACGGATTGCAACGGACCGCCGTGCATGGAGAGTCACGACCTCTGCCCTATGTGCCGCACTCGACACAAGAGGAAAGACTAACTAACTAATTGCAGCATTAACTGTGCATTCCTAATAAAATAGATAAACACAGAAACTTTCATTTTTTTTTTTTTGCAGGTTGCAACAATTCGACAACATCTAGCAAGCATATATGAGCGAGAAGAGAGTTGGAGAGAGGCTGCTACTGTTTTGGTTGGTATACCTCTAGAAACTGGACAGAAGTAAGCACATATGTTCGTATTTTCAGAAAAAGTATTTTGTTGTTTCTAATATAAGCCATGCCATTGTAATGAATCAGTTGTCACTTATTGGATCCATCTTCCTCTCTTTGAATCTTACATACAAGTTTCCATTGGTGTTTTTTATTTGAATTTTCATTATTCTGTTCTGTCATCTGAAAAATTGTTGTTGTCTAGTATTCACTGAAACTATTTTTTTATTTTTTTTATTTTTCTGCTTATGGCAAATATGTAAGTGTCATCACTGAATGTCACACATATCAAGAGAGATCATTATTCTGTTTGGGAGCAAAGATAAGTGTTAGAAAAAAGATCAGACAGCAAAACATTTATAAAGTGTTCGAGAACCAGGGCAAAAGGGAGATAATTCAACATCAGTTTTCATTTGGCTGGTGAAAGTAAAGAAAAATAGTGTAACAGATTTTATTGTACATAATGAACAATAATAACTGCATTATTTGTCCAGTTTCCTCAGCAATGAAGGCAGCAGCTTTGTCTTTCAGGCCAGCTAGTTGTTAACCACAACCGTGAGCTACTCGTGATAGCCAGATATCTCTGTGACACAACTAAACTAAGTTCTTCTTCACGTGTGAGGAAATTCAGCAGAAAGATCTTAAACAACTTAACCAACGTCGCAAATAAAGCCACAGTTGAGTGTTATCCTTCCTTAGCATTGTGGAAGTGAGCTTTAATTAAAAAAAATAATGATGACCCTCCTATATTAAGCCCACCTAAAATAAGTAAAATAGGGTTTGTAAAAGTGATCTCCTCCTTGTATTGACCATGTCTACCAGGAGCAGATGTGGGCATTAATGGCAGGATATGAACCTGGCCACCACGGATGCAGACTGAGATAACCTTGTTACTTTAATTGCAAATGATATAGCACTCCTATCACATAAACATGAACATTTATAGAGAAAAGGCAGCAGACTACACAGCACAGCAGATGTGGTGGGACTGAAAATAATTAAAAAGAAAATTAGGATCATGACTAATAGTCCAAACCAACTACCAGCGACCAAAAATTACCAAAGACATGAAAATGTAGAACAGTTAACATATTTTGGCAGTGTGGTGTCCCTATTGGGAGGGACAGATTAAGGTATACAGTCACACCTGAACAAAGCTAGAGCTGCTTTTGGAAGGATAGGCTAATCTGGAAATCCAACAGTTACTGCAGAGGAAAAAAATTCTAACTCTACAAGAGCATCATTTTGCCAGTTCTTTCTTTTTTAACGGAGCAGAAAGCTGGAGAATGACCAAAGGGATACTTACAAGCTATCCACCTTCCACAGCACGTAGGATTATCACAATTTTCTGACTAGATACAGTCTCAAACACTAAGCTACTTTAAGTCACAAACCAAGAAACTCTGATCATTGTGAAAACAAAGAGATGAAAATTGCTTGGCCACATTATGAAAATTGATCCTGATATACCTGCCAAAAAAGCTCTCACTTGGACACCAGAAGCAAAGAGAAAGAAAGGGACTCAAAAACAACATAGAGACAGATGATGGAAAGTTAACTGAGTGCTGCATCTCTGACATGAAAATCTGCACTGAAGATTGCACAGGACAGGAAGCCATGGAAAGTCCTCCTTGAAGCCTTATGTTCCACTAGGCATAAAGATAAATTGATTGACTGATTACTTTATAGCATACTGCTAATCTACTCTTATCACTTTATATGTCACTTCTGTTGTATTAGTAAATTAAATAATTGTTTTGTCTTTTTCAATAAAAGACAGTACAGTGCAGACTACAAGCTTGAAACCTATCTAAAGATAGCTCGCTTGTTCTTGGAAGATGAAGATGCTAACCAGGCAGATGCCTACATAAACAGGGCATCATTGTTGCAGGCAGAATCAAAAAATGAGGAACTGCAGATTGTTTACAAGGTGATACTAAATGTTTTAGTACTGTTATATGGTGCCTGAAAATGTAATAGTAGCTGTTATAGTGAAACTTGCCAGTGCATTTCCCTCAACCCACAAAAATTATACTGACCAGCCAGTGCTGCTGTTCCAGATCATGACATAACCAGTTTTTATGCTGGTTGTAATGGATGAGTGAGTTCCTGTACTGGTTAGTTTCGGCTGGTTGTGATGGGAGCATAAGTTCCTGTACTAGGTAGTTTTATGCTGATTGTGATGGGTGCGTAAGTTCCTGTACTGGGTAGTTTATGCTGGTTGTGATGTATAAGTGAGTTCCTGTACTGGATAGTTTCGGCTGGTTGTGATAGGTGCGTGAGTTCTTGTACTGGGTAGTTTATGCTGGTTGTGATGGGTGCATGGGTTCCAGTGCTGCGTAGCTTGTGATGGGTGCATGAGTTCCTGTACTGGGTAGTTTATGCTGGTTGTGATGGGTGCATGGGTTCCTTTACTGGGTAGTTTGTGAGGGGTGCATGAGTTCCTGTACTAGGTACTTTATGCTGGTTGTGATGGGTGCATGAGTTCCTGTACTGGGTAGTTTATAGTGGTTGTGATTGCTGCATAGGTTCTGAACCTATGGGTCGCGACCCTTTTTTTTTGGGGGTCAAACAACTCTTTCACATGGGTAGCCAAAGACCATAGGAAAACACATATTCACTGAAGTACTGGGTAGTTTGTGATGGGTGCATGGGTTCCTGTGCTGGGTAGGTTGTGATGGGTGTATGGGTTCCTATACTGAGTAGTTTGTGAGGGGTGCATGGGTTTCTATACTTAGTAGGTTGTGATGTCTGCATGGGCTCCTGTGCTGTGTAGTAGTTTATGCTAGTTGTGATAGAAGCATGAGTTTCTGTACTGGGTAGTTTATGCTGGTTGTGATAAGCGCATGGGACATTTATATTGGTTGAAGTGAGTTTATAGTTTGTTAGATGCCATTGCTTTTTTTTATTTCAAAGTTAGATCTTTACTCATTTTTTATAAAACAGTTTTTATATCAGAGATAAATAAAGCAGTCACATTGCATTAAATGGGTTGTTGACAGAAATATATCTCTGTAGTTGTCTTGAATCTTGTGAATCATTATTGTGAACTATCCTAGTAATTGAGTCGTCATTACTTTATATACTTGTTCCTATTGTGTTCTTTAATCCTTGTTGAAGCATAGGTTTCTCAACCAACTCAGGCCAACTAATATATTGATTTTATGCATTATTGTTTCAAAACGTTGCTTGTGTTTAAAACTCACTGGTTTTGTTTCTTACAGGCTTGCTATGCCAGAGTGCTGGATTTTCGTCGCAAGTTTATTGAAGCTGCTCAGAGGTACAATGAACTATCATATAAAAGTATGGTTTCTGAAGAAGAACGGATGACAGCACTAAAGAATGCATTAATCTGCACTGTGTTGGCATCAGCAGGTACTTATTTCATCTGTTTATACCTACCTTATTAATATAGATTACTCATTTCTGTAACAAAAGTCCAGGATGAAAATGTTGATTTTCTTGAATCGAAATTTGAATATGAATAGCCAGGAATACATTCAGCTGCAAATGCGCAGACAATGTCTACAAAGATAAACAACATAACATGAGAAAGTTCTGTGTATAATGAAAGTTACAGCATCATCATCATCAGTTCTCGTTATGCCTAGTGGCACATGAGGCTTCAGAGAGGACTTTCCATGCTTTCCTGTCCTGTGCAATCTTCAGTGCAGTTTTCCATGTCAAAGATGCCACACTCAGGTCACTTTCCCTCGTTCGTCTCCATGTTGTTTTTGGGCGCCCCTGTTTTCTCTTTCCCTCTGGTGTCCATGTGAGAGCTGTTTTGGCAGGTATATCAGAAGTCATTCTCATAACGTGGCCAAGCCATTTCCATCTTCTCTTGGTAATCATACTGTCTAAAGTTTCTTGGTTTGTGGCTTGAAGTAGTTTAATGTTTGAGATTGTATCTGGCCAGAAAATTTTGATAATTCTACGTAGACATGTGTTGTGGAAGGTGGATAGCTTGTGTGCATCCTTTTTGGTCATTCTCCAGCATTCCGCTCCATAAAGAAGAACTGGCAAAATGATGCTCTTGTAGAGTCGGGGTTTTGTTCCTCTGCAGTAATTGTTGGATTTCCAGATTTGCCTCATCCTTCCCAAAGCAGCTCTAGCTTTGTTCAGGCGTGACTGTGTGTCTTCCTTTGTCCCTCCCAGTAGGGACACCACACTGCCAAGATATGTGAAATGTTTTACATTTTCAAGTGATTGGTTACTTATAGTCACTGGTTGTTGGTTTTGACTGTTTGTCATGATCTTAGTTTTCTTTGTATTTATTCTCAGTCCCACCATTTCTGCTGTGCAGTGTAGTCTGTTACTTTTTTCTTGTATATGTTCATGTTTATGTGATAGGAGTGCTATATAATCTGCAAAATCAAGGTTCTCAAGCATGGTGAATGGAGTCCATCGTATGCCTCTTAATGTCCTGTCTACTGTGTTCTTTAGTATCCAATCAATCACAAGGTTGAAGAAGAGAGATGACATAACACATCCCTGTCTTACACCTGTCTTTACTGGGAAAGATGTAATTTTTTATACTGCAGGAAAAGTCTTTATAGAAGAGAGCAATTATGTTGACTATTTTTTCTGGAATTCCATAATGTCGTAAAATTTTCCACAGACCGTCTCTATGGACGCTGTCAAAAGCTTTCTCAAAGTCTACAAAATTAATATATAAACTTCTCTGCCATTCGTTGCATTGCTCTAAAATGTTACGTATGGCGAAGATGTGCTCAGTTGTTCCTCTGCCCTTTCTGAATCCTGCTTGTTCCACTCGTAGGCATTTATCTACTCCTTTTTCAAGCCGCATTATGATGATTTTACAAAATATTTTGCTTGGTACTGAGAGTAGAGTAGTTTCCCTCCAATTATTGCAGTCTGTTGTCTCCTTCTTTGGGGATTTTGACTATTGTTCCTTCAGTCCAATCATCAGGCAACACTTCCTTTTCCCAAATACCTTGAACAATGGTTCTAGAAAGCTAGCAGTTGTGTTGGGATCTACTTTGAGAAGTTCTGCTGGCAGTTCGTCTTTGCCTGGTGCTTTGTTGTTCTTTAAAGTGTGGATAGCTTAACTACTCTCGTCCAATGAAAATTACAATGTGGTATAAATGCATGAATTTAAGAAATGTAAGTTGCATATCCTTTACAGACATTTGCAAAGTCACACGTTTGTTATCAGTTGTGTGATTTTACTAGGCAGTTTTACATTCAACAGTTTGGCATTGCTTTCTGAATTGTAAATTGCAAATACACTTGTCCGCATCTGACTTAGAACCCCAGTGTACTGGAGTTGTGAAACTCTCTTTATGAAGCATGGGAACACATATCAACAGTGAGCTAGTAATTAGAATTTCTTACAAAGGCTGAGGAGCTGTAGATGTTCAGAAGAATAGGTTCTATTTCAAGAAAATGAGGGCAGATAAATATAAAGATGCTAGAGAAGATGAGGGATAGAACAAGATTTGCAGTCAATTATTTTTTTTTGTTTTTGCGATGAAGGATTTGTAACAAAGGTCAAACAGTCAAGGACAAGAAGCTAGCTGTATCCCAGCTAAGTGAAATAATGCTAGATTTATCCTAAATAAGTTAAATGATGCTAACTTTATCCTGGATAAGTTCAATGATGCTAACTTTATCCTGGATAAGTTCAACGATGCTTTCTTTATCCTAAATATGTCAAATGGTGCTAGCTTTATCCTAATAAGATAAATGATGCTAGCTGTATCCTAATAAGATAAATGATGCTAGCTGTATCCTTATAAGATAAATGATGCTAGCTGTATCCTAATAAGATAAATAATGCTAGCTGTATCCTTATAAGATAAATGATGCTAGCTGTATCCAATAAGATAAATGATGCTAGCTGTATCCTAATAAAATAAATGATGCTAGCTGTATCCTAATAAGATAAATGAGGCTAGCTTTATCCTAATAAGATAAATGACGCTAGCCATATCCTGAGTGAGTCAAATGATGCTAACTTTATCCTGAGTAAGTCAAATGATGCTAGCTTAATGCTGGCCGTCAAAATATGCTAGCCTTATCCTGAATAAGTCAAAAGATTCTAGCTTTATCCTGGCGAAGTCAAAAAATGCTAGTTCTGCACCGGCCAGGTCAACAGATTATGTTAAAAACAAAGCAGACCACATGTAAATTAAGTGTACAGTGTTTATCTGCCTGGTGGCAGAGTGGTAGTTAAGTTGGTTGGATGATCACAGTTGTCATGAACATCAGTCTTGAAGCTAGTGGTTTCAGTGCAGAATAGGAGAAAGATACATGGAAATCTTGACCTAGATAGTTGCATTTGTTAATTTGAGATAAGGGTCTTAAGAGTATCTAGTGAATAGATAAAATGATAGTTTATGATTGTTACATCAGAAGTCTTATACACGTTTCCATCTCTTTCAGGTCAGCAACGATCCAGAATGCTTGCAACTCTGTTTAAAGATGAAAGATGTCAGCAGTTGCCAGCTTTTAACATCCTAGAAAAAATGTAGGTCTATTGTTTTGAAGCTGTAAACTATATAACTAAATAACATTTCAATAGAAGTAATAACTCAAGCAACATATTGAACAGAATGTGACAGAGGAAACATTGGTTTTAAAAAAACAAAGGTAAAATGTTGTGGGGAAAAACAGATTGCTTGTAGATGATAATGAATTTTATCAAAAGCATACCAACAGAAGAGCTAGAATTGTAGAACATATTTAGGAAAATACAATGCAGGAGAAGCAGAGACAGTCAGTGATGAATGTAGGCATGTGGAAAGCATTTACAAATAAGTAAAATCAAATGTTAACATCTACTTAGTTTACAATCCATTTACATTTATAACTGTTGTATGTTTGTGATGTTAGCTATGACTTTAGCTTCTTCATTAGTGATCAGCTTTTACTTATTGTATATTCCATCATGGTCTAAAATAGAACAGTGTCTAAGATTCTCACTTGTTCTCCTGCAGTATGTCTTATAGGGTTGCAGAGAGTGTGTGCCAGATTTTCCTTTCTCTTGCTCCCAAAGTCTACTGTTTGGTTTTGTGTGTTTTTTTTTTTAAGTTATCTTTTTTCAATAGCTATCTGTGAATGAACACATACATGAGCTTGCAGGGCTCTGTTCCTTTAGCAGTTTGATTTAAAGCACTTTATCTGAGATTTTTTTTTTTATGTAGTTATTCCTGAATATCTAGGACTAAGCTTGGCAAGTTGAGCTTATTGAATGGACAGATCACAGTATCCCTTTTCTTCGAGTATGCCAGCATGTTATTCTCTGATTTCTATTGCACATGTTTGTTGTTTTTTTCCAAAATCATTTTATTTGTTATTTCTTGAATTTGTTGAGGCAGTCAGTGTTTAGATAACCCTTTGAGCTTTGTCAAACTTGGGGAGTTTAGGCAGCCTAAAAGCATGTTTCTCTAGACTGTATACTGTTCAGTTGTCGTTTGCTTTGTGATGCAGAATGACAGTTTTGGCTTTAAATACTTTTGCCCCTTTCTTTGCTCTCACTTTTGTATAAACGCTGTGTTTATGATTCACATTTTCATATCTTATTTTATTTACCTTCATTATTTGATCTACGAGCACCACAGTATCTTTACTTCTAGTCATTTCCAGCCATGCTTCTCTTGTTTGTGATATTCATTTCAGTGAGTTTAAATATTCAGTTGTCTATATTTTTAATGTCTGCAGGTATTTAGACAGAATTATCCGCAGTTCAGATCTTGTTGATTTTGCAGCATTACTTCTACCTCACCAGAAAGCAATAACTTCAGATGGTAAGACAGGACTAGTAATGTACTGTGGCTGTTTAGTTTGCCAACTCATAAAACAAAATCCTGAGTGTGGTGTAAACTTTTTATATCAGTACTTTAATATAAAAACATTGGGCAGTGGCTATTTTGGAGAGTATACAGAACAGGAATGAATGGACTTAAAGTGGATTAGATATGGGACACTACCATAGACAGGAGGTCTAGAGAGTAAACCAAGGAAGATGATGATGGATGGATTGCGACAGTGGTATGGGAGGTGGGGTGGGTGGATATTATCAGTGGAACTGATCCAGAAGACAATCTGTGAAGATGCATAAATGCCTGCAACAGGGCACATGATGATGAATCAAAGTCCTGGGTCTGCAGACTGCTAGGGGGGGGGGGGGCTAATATGTGCAGCGTGTAGAGAGGAAGACTCTGTAGATGGTTGTGAGGTTAAGCACTCAGACGCAAAATGTGGTGATTCCGTAGAAGGGCCCAGTACCAGAGCGCCATTTTTCAGCTTTGCATTCTTGAAAGCCTTTTCAGATGGTGGTAAATTCCCAAGTTCTGTCCCTCTCTTCCCTTGAGGGTCAAGCAGTCTGCATGCTGTTGTCCTGGACTGGTCCTCTAGGGACAGCACCTGTGTATTCGTTTTAACAAAACTGTCACAAAATTCAGGTGTAAAGTATGCCTCATTGTCCCACGAACCAGCTAGGAAGGCTAACATGGAAAAAAAAGCCTGAAGAAGTCAGTTGTGTTAGCTGAATGAAGGAAATAGCACATGTAAACAAACACAACAACTGGGCTCTTGCCACAAAAATCACATGATAAATGGAATTCTTTATTAGACTTTACAGCACATGAGCAGACTGGCAACTAACTGGGTGCATAGAGATGACTTGGCAAAGTCAGCTTAACCTTTTCATTTGCTGATGAAATATAACATTGGTGCTGCCTGCTTGAGCCATTCACTAAAGGAAGTAGTGTAGCTAGTTTGGAACATTGTGTAATAGAATGTTATGTTCACCAGAACTGAACAACATGGGAAAGAAACTTCTATAACACCATTATCATCATTTAGCAGGTCCTTTACAGATTGTAGCTCTCATGTCTCTTGGTCTCTCACCAGCTTTCCTGCCTGAGATTCTCTTATATCCTGTTTGTGGTGGTCAGCCCCTGCCCCTCTTTCTCTGTACCATGCCCTTCACCACTGTTCTTTCCAATCTATCACGGTTCTGGATATTTCCAGATGTTTCCATTTCTGAGACAGGATGCTGGTTACCAGCCAGTCTTTCTTACTTTTAAGATTCTTTTAGAATGTTTGTACATCTTTTCTTCTTGGTCTTTTGCATTGTGAGAATCTTTCTGTAGCACTTCAACTTCAAAGCACCTTCCTTCTTTAATGATTGTGAGATAGTCCATTTCTCACATCTATATGTCCAAGAAAAAATGCCAATTACTGTCTTTATTTTACCACTTTGGCGGTGTAGGCAGGGGGGTCTTTGAGGCTGAAGATTTATGCCCTCATGGCTAATGCTGTCGCCACGGCTGTGCAGGTGAGGATTTTATTTTGCCCCTGACAGAAAAAAATCTCCAGTCTTACCGAGGATTCGAATCCGGGTCTCCCGCTTGAGAGCCTAGTGTCCTAACAGTTCAGCCAGCCGCTTCTCATCTGTATGTTACAACTGTAAAGAGGCACACTCTCACAATTGTGACTTTGATTTCATCGCTGTTGCTTAGTTACAGAGTTGAAGTAAAGGGCTCTTTTCATGCTGGTGCACATCAAGCATATGAATCTAGGCTCATAGTTTTATATACTGGCGGCACTCAATGGCAAAATGGTGATCATCTTGTTGGCCACTTTTACTTCCCATGACTTTACCTGATGACAGTTAAAGGCTGAGGTAATTTTTTTTTTTTATTAGCTTACATCTAGCCACTACAACATAGACTCCATAATGTTGTTTAATGAATCTTTGCATTGCTACGATCATCCTCCCTTTAACTTTGCTGAACAGTCTTTATTGCTGTTTATTATTGAGCCTTAATCTGTAAAAGAGAATTCAAAGTCATGTTTATAATCATATGTGAATTCCATATTCTTGCCACCAACTTCCATCATAACATGTTTGTACACGTTATGGATATTGTTAGGTTCCACAATTTTGAACAGAGCTGTCACTGAGCACAATCTCCTGTCTGCCAGCAAACTCTACAACAACATTTCTTTCGAAGAGCTTGGCTCTTTGTTAGAGATTCCACCCAGCAAGGTCAGTTGATGTTTCAAAGTGATTAGCTTTGTTATGACAAATCGGAGACTGTTGTTTGATTATATCATGTGCTTAGAACGTCTAGACCAAAGCTGTTCAACTATGTTTTCTCAGGGGCCACAATTTTGAAAATAGCCATCATCACGGGCAGAAGGCTTGAGCCCGAACATAGAAAAATCATGAATATAATGCAGCTGTCAGTGATCTGTGGACCACTTGCTAAGCCTCCATTGGCTGCCAGTTAAGTAGCCCTGATCTAGACCATCCAGTCACAATGTAATAAATCTGCATTTTCTGATGCTGGGTGTTTTATCAATCAGTAAATCAGTCAGGTGCCATCTCCACAGTGAAGGTTGACTGCAATGAATCTCCAACATGCTCTGTCTCTTTTCCTAGGTTTACACTGTCTAAGACTGCTACCTGTCCATCGCTTGATGTTGTCCTCCCACTTTTATAGTGGCCTACCTCTTGCTCTCTTGCCTTTGACCTTTCCCTCCAGTATGGTTTTTAAAAGTGTGTAATGTCTTTTAATGTGGCAAAAGTATTTCAGTTGTCTCTTATTTATTTATTTCATTAATTCTCTTTTCATTTGTAGCCTTTCCAGAACCTGTGTGTTGGACTTTTTTGCATCCATGAAATGTGACCTTTTCTTCTAAAAACCCATATCTCCTGATACTCAATTAGATTTTCTAGTTGCTTGTTCATTGTCCATGTTTCTGCACCACATAGAAGGACTGAGTATACATAACATTTTACGATTCTCATTTTTAATGTGTTATTTGTCTCTCGAGCTGTCAGTTTCTGGTGCATTTTCTTGATATGTTGGTAATATTCAGGTAGAAAGAAAGGCTTAAAAACCACACACACACACACACAAAACTTGAGTGTCAAATCAAGGGCTGTGCTGTTTGTATTTTTGTGCTTTTCTGTCTGACTGAGGTGACTATGATTCTATTAAAGTGACAGTATAAACCATATACTTTGTTATGTTGACTGAATGGGCCTAATCTTTCCTTACTTACTTCATCGCTCCTCTTCTACCTTGGGGTGTAGAAGTTTGTCAGAGAGATCGCCAGACGTCTCTATCAACCGTTTTCTTTCTGGCTTTGTTCCAGTCCTTTGTCAGTCAGGGATTGTCGGATGTTGTCTTCCCAGCGCACCCTGGGTCGTCCTGGAGGTCTGGTTCTTAGCCTGCTATGGTGATCGATTTTCTCCTATTCTGCATACATGTCCAAACCATCGTAACTGTGACTGATCCACTCGGGTTTGTCAAGATCTTGACGTATTGTCTGATTGCGGACTTTGTCCCTTTGACTACCTTTCTCAGATATTTCATTTCTGAGGCCTGAAGCTGGCTTCTGTGAGCTGTTGTCGGTAAAAAGCCATTTTCATCCTCTTGCCTATTTCTCTTTTGCTAAGAAACCCTTGGTTTATGGCCTCAAAAAGTCTCCCAGCAGTTGCTTTTCGTGTAGTCTGAATGCCTTTCATTCGGTCTGTTACATCTCCAAGTTCTTTGAACTGGTTGACATGCTCCAATGCATACTGTCCCATCATGATCTGGTGTTTCTTCTCCTCTCTTGAGATCACCATGGTTTTAGTTTTGGAGATACTGATGGTCATCCCTCTCTTCTCAAGCTCTTCCTTCCATACAAGTAAGTTGGACTGAAGGTGTGCCTCTGATTTAGCTATCAGGGCCACATCGTCTGCAAATGCAAGCTCTGATATACAGATTGGTCTCATCCTCCAGTACCCTGCTGAGTACTTCTTTGTCTTCTCCTTACAGGTCTTGATGATATCATCCATCATAAGAATGAAGAGGTAAGGTGAGAGAATATCACCTTGTCTAACACCGCTGGTGGTCTTAAATTCTTCTGACTTTTGGTCTGCCGTTCTTACATAATTTCTGCAGCTTTTGTAGAAACTGTATTGCACTGATCAGGGATGCTGGGATGTTTTTCCCTGCCAAGCAGTTCCAGGACTTGTTCCAAGGTACCTTGTCAAGTGCCTTTTCCGGATCCAAAAAACATAGGTGCATCTCACTCTTATATTTCAAGGTTTTTTTTCACTCATCTGTCTCAGTGTGAAGATAAGGTTTTGAGTACTTCGGTTTGCTCTAAAGCTGCATTGGGCCTCATCCAGCTGTGGCTCTACCAAACTTCTAAGTCTCTGCTCGAGGGTTCTAGAGTAACTTTTACCAGGAACGCTGAGGAGGGATATGCCTCTGTGGTTTTCACATTGTCTGTTATCACGTTTTTTTAAATATAGGTCTAATCTTTCATATTTTAATATAAATGGCATCAAAGCTGAAACACATTAAAAATGAACATTTTCAATTATAAATTGGCATTGTAAAATGGGCTACAGAGTTCAGAGGACTAGTATCAACTGGCCATGAGCTGGGGGCAGCTCTCCATAGTGCTGCCTATCCACAAACTAGATTCCAAGTTCAGCTCATATTTCAGTGGTCCATGTGCATCCACACAAGGGAAGCTCAGTCACTTTTATTGTTGACCTTCCTTGTTTTCCTCGCATGGCGATGAAAAAGAGAGCTGTGCAACACAGTCCCATTGACACTTTAGTGTTGGGTTAACAGTGAAGAGTCTACTCCATCCTCACCAGGTTAGATGTCCAAAGGATTCATGCAGCTTGAACATCCAGGCATTGGACTCAGTCTTCTGGAAGCCTACCAAGCAACAAACCAACATTGTACAGTTAAACCTGGCATCATTCACTGTTCTATAGACATTGATATCTCTTCTTTTTCCCTTAAACTAGCATGATTGCTTGGAGAGTAACTTTTAAGGAATAATTGGTAATTCTATCTGTGCTTTTAGATACTATCCTTAACTCTTGTCATTGTAGTTTATAGCATTTTCGTGGCCTTATGTTCTTATTTAATTCTGGTTTTTTCTTCATCCTCACGTTCGCCAACTTTAAACTCTGGTGAAAGTTATGATTGCTTGTCTACTGGAATTTAGTCTTGTTCTCTTCTCCAGATCTTGCTTATTTGTATGCAGACTGTTGGTTCCTTGCTTCTTGTGCAGATGCAGTCTAGCTTCAAAAGAAACCCCTAATTAGTTGACTCTTACAATATGCTTGTTAGGGAGGCAGGTTGTATCCCCCCCCCCCCCCCCCACACACACCCACAGATGTGAAATAAAGTTTTTAAAAAAAAGAATAGTTAAAGATGAGAGTAGCTTGACTGCACAGGTTTTATTCCATCTGGCTCAGCTTTTCCCACTGTGTGCCACTTGAAACTAGCGAAGTTGGTTAAACCTGACTTTCGCGGCGGCCGGGTGACGAACTCCTTGTGGTCCGGGTTCACTCCCAGGGGTGGGCAGAAAAGCCACATTTCTCCCAGATTAAACGGTACCTATAATGGAATCAAGGCCGAAGGGTTGCGATATCCATAGTACCGAGCCAAAGGTTTCATGGTTTCTGGATACGTAAAAAAAAAAAAAAAAAAAAGAAAAGAAAGTGTGGCACACAGACTCCATATCTTCTTGGATGATTACCTGTGAACTGGACGCCAATCTAAGAATGACTTCAGAGCTTGAAGCAGTTGCCTTGATCCCCTTGACCGGATTCTGACCTAATTCTACAAGACATGCCATAAGTTTCCATACATTGGATGCTATTACAAACATAACTCCACTTGTCTTCTTTAACACTGGGGGACACGCATTAAAAAAATTTTTTTTTTTTTTAAATGGTAGTTGCGTGCATAGAATACTACAAAAAATTAAAAGAATTTTGGCGGGGTGGGAGGGGAATGCAGGGGTATGAAAACACATTTTAATATATATCCTCCACTGCTGAAGAACACACATAAGCACAACTGTAGTTATGCTTGTAATGGTGTTGGTGATGTGTTAGTTTTTTAAATGTATGGAAAATTATGGGGCATCCCATAGTAGTGCATCATATGTCATGTGGTTACTTCATATGATATACTTTTTTGTCACTATTTTAGGTTCCTTATTACTTGAATGACACAGTATAATTTGCTTGGTAAAGAATGTAACAATCAGTTACAAAACCTGTCTTGTATTTCAGGCTGAGAAAATTGCTTCTCAGATGATAACAGAAGGCCGTATGAATGGCTACGTTGATCAGATAGATTCCACAGTTCATTTTGAAGGTAACTGGTGTGGCACCTTACTATCTGAACTTTCTGTTACACTGCCTGGTGTTTTTATAAATATAAGCAGTGTTATTCCAGCCCATTTGTAGAGGTTTACTTTGTTACTTATGGGTAATTTTCTGCCTGTGAATCAGCTACCTGTGAGCTTATGAATAAAAATTAGGAAAATATTATGTGGGTTTGACACGATTTGCTTCAAATCGTGACAAGTAGATTATTTACTTACCTGTATACTTAATTTGACTTTCCTCACTCAAATTATCATATATTTTTTTTGGTTTCAATATCAGAATAATCACAGGTTGCATAAATTTATTCCTTGAAGACAAAGATGAGTAAGAAAGGCAGGCATGGAATGAGCTGAAGGTAACAGCAAAGGAAAAGACAACTGTGTGCAAGTTGGTGGAGAGCCTGTGCTCCATGGTAGGGGTTGAAGTGGGGGAAGAGGAATTTTATACATTTATTTTGTATTCACTGAATGATGCAAAGTTATTGATGGATCTTTGCTATCCACATTTGAATGTACTAGCATTTTAAAATACTGTATTCCCCATGTGGGTTCAGGGCCCCATTATGGGGGAGGGGGTATAGGCCCACTGTTCCTCCAAACAAGCATGTCATAAGAGTCGACTGGTTTCCTTGAGTCCATTTGCCTGAGAGGCAAGAAACGAACAGTTCTTCTCACAAGTAAAAATAAGCCAGATCTGTATAACTGATGTGCTTGCAAGTTCTGGAAGAAGATTCAAGTCAGAAAGGGACGTACAACCAGAAATTACAGCTAGTGACCACTAAGAAGAAGAAAAATAATATACTATGTGTGAACTTATCCATAAAGAAGCAATTAATAAAATGGTGGTGATTGTCCACAGCTCGAGAGACACTGCCCATGTGGGATCGTCAGATTCAAAGCCTTTGTTTCCAAGTGAACAACATAATAGAGAAACTCTCTGTGGCTGAACCAGAGTGGTTTACAAAGACATTGGAAAAATGCTCGGATTGAGGAGACTTCACAGCCAGGATCGTCTGAGCACAGACTGCCATTGTTGAACCTTTGATTTCTTTCTTTATGCCAGCTGACTTCTTGTTTTTTTTTAATGTTCATTTTCATTCAACTGTTAGCATAAAGCTATTAGGTCATTAGTTGTGTAAAAAATAATGCTAGGATACAAATAACCAAAATAAGGGATTTGAGTTCTCCTTGATGGCATTGCAGTGTAGTTGCTCATAAGTTAGTATTTGTGTTGTTCAGGCAGTATGTATTTTCTTTGAAGAAGATTGAAATGAATAAAGATGTTTATATGAAGAGCCTTTACTAGTGCTAATAGTTATTGATTTCAGTCATGATGACTACAGTTGGCATAACTGTTCCTTACTGAATGTTGTTTTGGTATTCACAACACCTGGCCATGTTCCTGCTTGATGAACTACATTGTAAAGTCATTGGTCATTTACATTGTATTGCCTTTGGGGTGTCTGGGATCGACTGTTGCAGTATCACTGGATGCAACCATTGGGTCAAGCTGACTCAATGAATACCTTTAGCATATTGGGCCAAACTGAGGACTTCTGTCTGAATTAATCAACATCATTATTTTAAAATGCATCAGTTTGGACTGAAGATCAGAGCTGTGAAAAACTTACAAGTAAATAGGTGCAGCTTTGTTAATGAATGAGTTTATCAAGAATTGACAATACTTTGGGGAGAAATTCCGCTCATGTGTCTCCTTCCTAGTGGCCGGGTCTCATACTGATGATGGCAGCTGCAGTTTAACAGTCCTCCTGTCTTTTCTCCTGCATATTGAAAGCCATTCAGACCCTCTGCCAGTTCCCTGCTGATTCATTCTTTCAAGGTATGAGTACTCCTTCTGTTCCAATCAGTGCTCTGTCCACTTAATCCTAGGCAGCCTTCATCTCATCCACTTTATTTTAAAGTAACTCATTGCCCAGAGGGGTGGCAGCAGCCAAATCTATCAGCCTGCAGATCTTAGCTTTGTTTTGAATCATCATGACATCTGACTTTAAAATGCCTTGTAAGGAGTAGAAAAGGAATCACAGTGACAAAAGTAGCCTTTTGTAAGATGAGAGAACATACTCACCAAGTGCTAGCTAATCAAAACTGAACATGGATGTTAGTCACTTGATACTGATAGATTTAGTACACGGAATGTACCTGGCAATGGACATATCAAGAGTGCAATGATGTTTATCTACTCTGAACTCAACAGAACTCCAGTAACTGTTTGCTGGTTAGTTCTTCTTCTTCTTCTCTTCCACCTTGTACCTCAGTAAAATGCCGGGGGGAGATGTAACGTTCGTTGCTGAGCTCTGTCTAGACCACTATTAAGACTGATGTTCATTTCTTAATGCCATCATTTCATCTTTTCCTAGGTTTTCCACTTGCTCTATACCCATTGTAACTTTTTAGTGTGGCTCGCTGTGGCAGATAGTACATGGACATTCTTGTTATCACAATTTTACGTTTATTGGAGGATGTAAGTGTCCACGTTTGGCACTGATAGCATAGTGTTGGCCAAAAAAATAGTTCTGATAAGATTCATTTTAGTACTCCAATTTGTTTTGTGTGTGTGTGCTGGTTAGTGTAATGTTGATATTTTTCGTTGACTAGCACATGTAGTGAAGATGTAAAAATGAATATTCTGAGTGAGATGTAAAACATGAACAGCTTATTCGCTTATCGCCTGGGCGAGTTGAATGTAATAAAAGTTATTTGAACATTTTCTATAGTGCCGTTTTCAATGAACAGTTGTAAACTTAAGAAACGTGCTTCTCATTGTTGAAGTAGAATTAACAAGATCAATCCATAGCAGACACTGACGTTCGAGAACATAGGATCCACAATAAAAGGTGTGCATATTGTACAGTATTGACTGGAAACAGTTTACCAGATCCGAAGCATTTAATACAAGTTGGAGTTGCACACAATGAGTAACAATGATTAGAATTAATTATATGAAAACATTATATTATGATGATCTTTAATCAGAAAGAAATAACACAGTGGAACATACAAATAATAAGAAAGTTTATAACAAATCAATAGGTACAACTATTTTGAAACAGTCATAGTATCTGATGGAAAATGCTGTTCACAATTAGACAGATAATTGCCATGAAAAAATCTGCCTTTTGCGGGATGGAAAACACCAATTTAAAAGGCAAACCCACTTGCAGTAAGAAAAAAATGAACAGTGTTACAAGGAACCTCTACTTTTAAATGTTACTGGGATGTGAACAATAAAAAGGATGTGAAACACAATTTCATTAAAACTGATTTCTGAGGAAAATGAAAGAATACATGAAAAGACAGAGTAACAAATAAGACTAAGAAGAAGAATACACGGACGCATGCAGAACAGGGGTTCACCAATCATCAGTAGAAAGGTCCTTCGTCGACGATTGTTTCAGCCCATTATCTTTCTAGACAGTCTCGAAAAGTGGGCCAACCTGGGTTATGAAGCCAGGCCTTGGACATCCCCTGCTATACTTTATCGGACAGGGACAAGAAATAGTGACTCTGCAACAGGTATTGTGAGATTAGGTGTTATATATTGTTGCTGCGGTAGTAAATTATGCGCCTACCTTTACGACCAGAGTGACAAGCTTGCGATTGGTTCATCGGACAGACGTTAGACTGTGGCAATAGGCAGAGAGACACTGGCAGACATTTATCGGGCACTTTAGCTTTTGGGGATGAAAAGCTCTTTTCTACTGGGGGCTTTGACCAGTCTACCGAGGCCTATTCCCTCACGATGTTCCTTTGCATCCACCGCCAGCTCGAAGCCTTTTCAGCTGCTTCGCCCATTTGTTTTTGTGCCCGTTTATGCTCTTTCCCTCTCAAGCCCAGCTGCTTCAGTACACTATATGTGAAGGTGGACATCGGTCGTCTTGCGCGTACCTCGACGGCGAAGATTTTTACTTTGTACATCTCAACTCTCCTCAGACTGGCCACCAGATCACCATACTTTTCGAGCTTCTACAGGTGATTTTCTTTTGTCCGTGATTCGTACGGCATGTTCAGCTTTAATAGGATGAGCTAGTAGGCAGAGTACAGGACCATGTCTGGTCTCAGGCCGGTCTTTTGGTTTGATTCTAAGTACTTTTCTAAAATAGGCAGGTTGACCGCCAGTAACCAGTCACTCGCAGTCAAGTATTGATGGAGCGTATCCGACCTTGTAGATTTTACCTTTAGAGATCTGCCCAGCCTTGAAGCGCCAGGATTGGCCCTCATCCTTGCTTGATCCATAGTGTCTGCTAACTGTTTCGAAACCTTATTGTGGCGTCGTGTATATGGTCCCTGGCCTAGGGCTTTTTGCACAGGAACATAGTACTCGAGTGTCTGCATAGTGGGCATGACGGATCGGTGGTCGCACACCCTTTTGGCCATGTTGGCACCAGAGGAAAACACACCACAAGCAGAAAGCTCAGTAGGGGCCATTCACCAAATCTCATCCATTGTGAGTATTTGTGGCAAGGCGCTCTCGATGCTGATCCACTAGCCTTTCTGCGACTGTTGAACGGCTTTTTTTTCCTGGGAAAATGAACATAAAATGGGATTAATTCAAGAGGTTTGACGAAATAAGAGAATGCATGGAGAGACACACATACATACACACACACACATATATATATATAGGGCAATGTATGTACACCTTAGCATTAAAACTGATTACCCACAGCATGAGACAATCTACGTTCTTTGGTCATGTCAACGAAGGTGACAACTGGAGTAAATCGTGTGACGGCGAGGGAGTTGGAGGGGAAAAGATGCAGAGAGAAACCGTGAGAATATGCTGGGCAGTTTGATGCCACGAAATGCGCGAGCATCTTTGACAATATTGATTGAAAGTACACGAGACAGAGGGTGGATAGACATGACTACCAACGTCATACGGCATGAACTGTAGGAAGAAAGCTACTTAGCAGTTTATGTTATGATTCCTGAATTGTTTCAGATCTCTTGCAAATTTGGATCAAGGAGTGCATTGAAACCAGAAACCAGTTGTTATCAAAACTGTCGAGGAAATGTTCATCGTTTTCTCGAAAAGCAGCTTTATCTTTATATTTTGTATCTTTTTTTTTTTTTTTTTTTTTTTTTTTTAATAAAAACAAATCTTCCGTTTAGTGGCACACAAATTTGCTAATGAAGTTTAACATAGTGAACGCTTTCAATACCTAACTGTAGCATGTAAGCATCGCTTATCGACCTGTTCATTAAGATTCTAAATATACGTCAGACAGCATACAAATCAACTTTTAACAAGAGGGGATGGAGACGTGGCTGTTTTTGTTGGTTTGGCATCCTATGCGTGGCTTGAAGGTTCATCGTGATGTTAAACTGACATTAAGGGGGCAGACTTGGCATGCGCTTGCTCTCGCACACGCACATATCCACATACACTTCTTCTTCTTCTTCACTTCCTCTTTTACCGCTGTGGGTGTCGAGGGAGTTATAAGGTTCTGTTTCTAGCTCTTCTGGCCGCCTCGACCATAGGCATATCGTGCTGTTGTAGAGTTTCTCTGATGTTATCCTTCCATCTTGTTCTTGGTCTACCTCGTGCTCTACGTCCTTTTTCTCTTTCCATGTATGCTTTGTATGGTATAGTGTCACAAGGCATTCTCTCTAAGTGGGCAAACCATTTAACTTGCTGTCTTCGTATGTAATTTAGAATTGGTTCTGTGCCGACTTTTTCTCTTATGATCTCATTCCGGATCTTATCTCTTATGGTCACTCCTACAACCCTTCTCAACATCTAATTTCTATGGTTACTAATTTTCTTTTATGGTTTGTTGTGAGTGACCATGTCTGGCACTGGTAGCACAGAGTTGGAATAAATATGCTTTGAATAAAATGTCTCTTTGTGCTGATTGGGATTGTCTTATGCTGTAAGAGGGGGGCTAGCTGTCCCAATACTTGGTTTGCTTTACTGCATCTAATGTTAATTTCTTTATCCAATTTCCCATCTTCGGGAGATGTAGTTT